CCTTTTTTTTGTAGAAGAAGCCCAACAGCAGAAACTCATTAGCATATTAGGTCACACCCCTGACAGCACAGCTCATTGGCATATTAGGCCACACCCCCATGTTACCAGAAGTGTGGTCATCCAGCCACACCCACCTTTTGTCCCACTGATTTTCCTCATCCCACCAAGTTTCTGAAATACCCACAATGTCTATTTTCCCCTCCAACACCAAGCACTCCAACTCCCCGATTTTACCTCGGACACTCCTACCATTTGTATAGAAACAGCTGTAATTTCCCATACAAGTTAAGCCTGCAACCTTCCTCTTGCTATCTTGAGACCTTGTCAGGCAGTCCATGTCACCAGCCATGGTCTCAGTGGACAATTTCAATCCACCTCCCTGAAGAAAAGCAACAGGTATCCCCTCATCTCTCTGAGATGAGCCAACCCGAACCAGAGACTTTTCATCTCCTGTCGGCTTTCCTCATTAGCACATTAGGCCGCACCCACATGTTACCAGAAGTGTGGTCATCCAGCCACACCCACCTTTTGCTTCTTATTCTGTTTACCTTGTTTGTTGTCAAAACCCAGGGCCTTTTTTTGTAGCAGGGACTCCTTTGCATGTCAGGCCACACATCCCTAATGTAGCCAATCCTAATGAGTTTCTGCTGTTGGGTGTGGCCTATTATGCTAATGAGTTCCTGCTGGGCGTGGCCAACTTGGGAGCCAGCCGGAACTCCGTTCCTGTGCGTTCCTGCCCAAAAATAGCCTTGGAAATACTGAAAGTGTTATAATGTTTGAAACATGTTTGTGCTTCGAGTAAAAAAAATGTCCTTTATACAGTTTCTATCTCCAGTGCCTGGCATTGCATTTTATGGCACCCATGGCCCAGCCTGACAAAGTGACAATTATATCCGGCCCTCGTAACAAATGAGTTCGACATCTCCGATAGGGCATTTGCTGCCCTTTCTTATACATTTCCTCCACCCAGCTCCACCCTATCGCAAAAGCGCACCATCCGCCGGAAAGCCCTACCCACAGAGGCTGGACTCAAGCACTGGCTAAATACCTTTAGAATTGCCGGAGGTGGAAGGCGGACTTTGATTTTTTCATCCTTGCCTACCAGGATAGAGGCGATGATCTGGCAAGTCTTGGCCCGGTCAAAGAAAGTGTCCTTCAGGGTGAGGAGGTAGGCACCTAGAACGGTTAAGACCACAAAAGAAACTAAGGCTTCAGCAGCACAGAGTAGCTCAGAGCAGGGGTCATTTCGTAGAAAAAGAGGTGCAGGAGCTCATTAGCATAGCTCATTAGCATAACTCGTTTGCATACGCTACACCCCCTGACATCACCGGAAGTGTGTCAGAAGGCAACACCCACCGCTCAGGCTCCACTGGACTGTTTTGGATTGCTAGCTATTGGGGGGGGGGGACGTGCAGATCTGTCCTCGCAGAGGAGGAAGAACTTGTACCTGAATAAAACTTGGTCTTAAAGGTGCCACTGGACTGTTTTGGACCGCGGGGGGCCGGGGGGGCTCTACAATTTATCTGGCTGCTTCTTGCTCTGACTGAGGGCTGCTGGGAGCAGGGGGTGGGGCTTGTTGCATGTGCCCACCCCCTGGGCTCTTTACTGCCGGAGCTCCGCTCCCGTGCGCTCCTACAGGAAATGACCCCTGGCTCAGAGTATTCTGACCAGTGTTCCCACTAAGCTGAGTCAGCGTGAGCTAGCTCACAGTTTTTTAGCCTCCGGCTCACACATTTTTGCCTTCGCTCAGGAAGGAGGGCTCCGGAGCAGACTGATTTCTGCCATAGCCAAACTGCTCACTCACAACTTTTAATGCCAGTAGCTCATAAAGCAGAATTTTTGCTCACAGGACATCACAGCTAAGAGGGAGCTTTGATTCTGACCATTTTTAATGCAACATCAGCGGACAAAAAAAGAAAGCAATGCAAACAAAATAGGAATTGTTCTGTCTCCTGCACAAGGTAAAAGTCACTTCAGTGAAGAAATTCCAATGCTGATGGGACTAGGGCCGCCAGGTACCTGGCTGCCAGGGGGGGGGTGTCTCCAACCTGGGTTCCTGGATCTACTGGCGTGCGCACGGAGCGCGTGCACTGTGCTGACGTCACTCAGAAGTGATGTCATTGCAGCGGGCATGTCGTGCAGGGACTGTCTAGCATTTGGCCAAAAACTCTATGGCCAGTGGCGGATCGGGGGCCCCGAGAGCAGGGGAACCCCTGCCCCCGTCGGGATGGCAACCCGAGATGGGACTCTGTGGCCAATCCGACACAAGCTGAGCGGCAGTCCCTGGCCACCTGGACCAAAAACTGGAGCATCCGTGGGTCCACGGCAGTGTTCCCTCTACGCTGAGTTAGCGTGAGCTAGCTCGCAGTTTTTTAGCCTCCAGAACACAGTTTTGACTTCGCTCAGGAAGGATGGGGCTCCAGAGCAAACTGATTGATGCAGCAGCCAAACCGCTCGCTCACAACTCTAATGCCAGGAGCTCACAAAGGAGAATTCTTGCTCACAAGACTCCACAGCTGAGAGGGAGCACTGGTCCACGGTCTTCCAAAACAACGATAACACGTACAATCCTTCTCCTAAGTTAGGGGGGACCCCCAATTTTTTTTAACCCACAGGCACCATTAAGATACTGACAGGGGGCAGCGGGCACAATCGGAAGATGTTCTGCTACAGGAGGCAGGGCCAATCACAAAATGTCAGGGAGCGAGGTCACACATAACTCTAATAGTAGCTCTTCGACATGTCTGCACAGCCAATCAGAAGCCCTCCTGGGCAAAGGCCCCGCCCACTTATTATTTATTATTATTTTTTATTTCTACCCCACTCAGGGTGGCTTACGTAGGATAAAAACAACTCAAACAAATTTATCTAAAATCACAACAAAATACACATTAAAAATAATACAAAGTGTTTGTGCTGGAATGATTCATATATGATGGTGGGGCACGAGCAGGAGCAGCGCCCGACAATACAAACAATCAACTGCCACCATGGTCGGGGTTATAAGATGTTTAAAAGATGTTATAATGATGTTGATGGTGGTGTCAATATTGGGGCCAGGGCCTGTTATGTAGTGCGGCTCCTTAGTCAAAGGCCTGGTGGAAGAGCTCCGTCTCGCAGGCCCTGAGGAACTGTAAAAAGGTCATGCAGGGCCCTGATGTCTTCCGGGAGCTCATTCCACCAGTACGGAGCCGCCACTGAGAAGGCCGCGGCCCTCGTCACAGCCAGCCTGGCTTCACGGTTGCAAGGAAAGATGTCGGTGGCTGCCATAGTGCCTGGGGACCTCTGTCCTAAGAGACCCGGCTTCTTGCACGTCTGCTTCTATCAAGTGTGAACAGGATGGCCCAAGCCCCCCTGCCACATAGAACATTTCAGAATCCCGGAGAAATGGGATTGCGAGACTTTAAGCTAATGAACCGCCAAAGGGACTTCAGCTACTGACCTGTAAGAAAATCCTGGATGGCAGCAATCAAGGGCTCTCCATTTCTGGGTGTTACCAAGTTTGCTTTGGTCTGGAGACCCAGGGGGTGGGGGGTGGGGGGAGAAAAGAGAGAGGTTTTAAATGGATTCGTCAGCTAAGCAAACTGACAACCCGCATTTTATTATTTGTAGTTAAGTACTTATTTTTGAACCGCGGTGTGCCACTGTAAGAAATACCTTGCAAGGTCATGTTGAAAATCTTAGTTGATCTGGATATTACAAACAAGGAAATATCAGTAGAAAGGAGGAAGAGTCCAGGAGCACCTTAAAGACTAACGAACATTTGTGGCAGGAAAACAGCTTTCATGAGTCACGGCTCACTTCTTCAGACACCAGAAGATATCTGAAGAGGTGAGCAATGTCTCAGGATAGCTCCTCCTACCCTGCCACGATTTGTTTTGTATTTTCGCATTTTTGTGTGTGTGAGCGCGCATGTGTGTCTGTGCCTGGGATTCATGGCGACCTCTGGTGACTCCTCCTGGGGCATGGAGGACATTCAGAAAAGTGGCCTGGCAGACTGTCTCTGCCTCCCAGCCCTGGTATTCTTTGGAGGTCTCCTAGGGTCGGCCCTGCATGGCTTCCGAGATCTCACGAGATTGGGCTTGCCTGGGCTACCCACAATTTTTGTCAGTCTTTAAGGTCTTTTGTGAGTCTTTAAGGTGACTTATGAAAGTTCATACCCTGCTACAGATTTTGTCAGTCTTTAAGGAGACTCACAAAAAGCTCCTACCCTGCTAGAAATTCTGTTAGTCTTTACGGTGCTCCTGGACTCTTGCTCTTTTCTACTGCTACAGACAGACAAACATGGCTACCCATCTTGATCGAAGGAAAATATCAGAAACATAAAGTCAGGTTGGGCTAACAAACCAAACCAAGGATTTCGGCAACTGTTCTGTATATAACCGGGCAGTGGGATGAGATGATCAAATATTGACGCTTCTAACGGGGGGCGGGGCAGGAGGCGGAGCTAACTCTCATTACAACTCCACAGTTTTTTCTACTTTCTCTTAGTAACTTTTCTCCCATTCTGCTGCAGCCTCTCTTTCCCCTTATGCAGAAGTTTAAGGTGGAAACACACGGGAAGACAGCGGCACACTACAGACCCAATTCTGTGCTGCTGCATGCAATCCCCGCGACAGAAACAACAAAGCACCCCACGCAGTTAGCCCACTTCGGCCAGCCGAGCAACGGAAGCACAATTTGGCTTACTCCCATCAGGACCAGCGCTTCCGCTTTGGCCTCTTCCGTCTGAGGAAGGTGGAGGTTCATCTCATCGCCATCAAAATCGGCATTGTAGGGTGTGCAGACGCACTCGTTGAACCGGAACGTCCGGTGGGGTTTTACCCTAGCCTTAAAAAACAAAACAAAACAAAAACTCTCAAAACTGATCAAATCAAAAAGACAAACAGAACCACCCAACAAGAGCCAACAACAAAACCAAAGCTTTCGGAGAATCTCAGGTGGGAGGGCGGCAATTCTGAAGGCTTTCCCATGAGAAGAATTCATAAGAACATAAGAACATAAGAGACGCCAATGTTGGATCAGGCCAAAGGCCCATCCAGTCCAACACTCTGTGTCACACAGTGGCCAGAAACACCAGGTGCCATCAGGAGGTCCACCAGTGGGGCCAGGACATTAGAAGCCCTCCCACTGTTGACCCCCCCCCAAGCACCAAGAAGACAGAGCATCACTTGCCCCAGAGTCCCTATCTACACCTTGTGGCTAATAGCCACTGATGGGCCTCTGCTCCAGATGCTTATCCAATTCATAAGAACATAAGAGACGCCAATGTTGGATCAGGCCAAAGGCCCATCCAGTCCAACACTCTGTGTCACACAGTGGCCAGAAATACCAGGGGCCATCAGGAGGTCCACCAGTGGGGCCAGGACATTAGAAGCCCTCCCACTGTTGACCCCCCCCCAAGCACCAAGAAGACAGAGCATCACTTGCCCCAGAGTCCCTATCTACACCTTGTGGCTAATAGCCACTGATGGACCTCTGCTCCAGATGCTTATCCAATTCATAAGAACATAAGAGACGCCAATGTTGGATCAGGCCAAAGGCCCATCCAGTCCAACACTCTGTGTCACACAGTGGCCAGAAATACCAGGGGCCATCAGGAGGTCCACCAGTGGGGCCAGGACATTAGAAGCCCTCCCACTGTTGACCCCCCCCCAAGCACCAAGAAGACAGAGCATCACTTGCCCCAGAGTCCCTATCTACACCTTGTGGCTAATAGCCACTGATGGACCTCTGCTCCAGATGCTTATCTAATTCCCTCTTGAAGCCGTCCATGCTTGTAGCCTCTACCACCTCCTGTGGCAGTGAATTCCAAGTGTGAATCACTCTTTGGGTGAAGAAGTACTTCCTTTTATCCGTTTATCCGTTAACTCCTGCAGCTAGCATAGCATTACCCCATCGCAGTGCTAGTTTTCCACATGCAGGGAAGTAGGTCTGTTGCCGTTTTTAACGAGGAGCACTAAAGAAAAAGGCCCGGCCTTTCACACACACACACACACACACACACACACACACCATCCCAGTATGAAAGGACACTATCTGTTCCATCACTTCGTTCTACTTTTGCAGAAATCCAAATTCACATGGGAAGATGCCAGAAAGTTTGGGATTCCCATCCGATCTGGCATGCATACCCTCGGGACACAACCAAACCAGGCAAGGATAATTAGGCTGGTTGGAGTCCTCTGTACACATCCTGCAGAGGAGGAACTGCAGGATCAATGGAATGGGGGCAGCACGTGGAGGGCACAATGACTTGGAAGCAGTGTTCCCTCTAAGCTGAGTCAGTGTGAGCCAGCTCACAGTTTTTTAGCCTCCGGCTCACACATTTTTGTCTCTGCTCAGGAAGGGATGGGGCTCCAGAGCAAACTGATTTATGCAGCAGCCCAATCGCTCGCTAACAACTTTAATGCTGGCAGCTCACAGAGTAGAATTTTGGCTCACAAAATTCCACACATTAGAGGGAGCATTGCTTGGAAGATATAAAAATCCGAAGAAAGGAGGAGGAGGAGGAGGAGGAGGAGGAGAAGGAGAAGAGGAGGAGGAGATTGGATTTATACCCCCGCCCTTCACTACCCAAATGAGTCTCAGAGCGGCTTACAAACTCCTTTCCCTCCCCCTCCCAACAGGCACCCTGTGAGATAGGTGGGGCTGAGAGAGCTCTGGACAGAAACTGCTCTTTTTCAAGGACAGCTCTTGTCAGAACTATGGCTTGCCCAAGGTCATCCAGCCAGGTGCAAGTGGAGGAGTGGGGAATCAAACCCGGTTCTCCCAGACCTAAGTCCGCGCACTTAACCACGACGAGAGACAAGGCTATGGCTGCGGCTACAGGGTGGGAGAGGGGAGAGAGGGGGGAAGGAAAGGCTCTGAGGCAGCTGCCTTCTGAAGAATGTTCAGTCCCCACCACTCTGGTCCCTCCTACAGATTTGTTGAGCCCCAACCGCCCACAATCAAATAAAAAGGGAGAGACAAGCTTTAAAGATGGGTAGCGGGTAAGCCTTGCGTTCCCTAAAGATCCCTTCGCCCTGACCTGGATGGGCCAGGCTAGTCCGATCTCGTCAGATCCTGGAAGCTAAGCAGGGTCGGCCCTGGCAAGTATTTGGCTGGGAGACCAGCCAGGAAGTCCGGGGTTACTACACAGAGGCAGGCAATGGCGTTGGCACAATGAAAAAAGGAAAAAGAACGGTGACAATTTAGCGCTTGGTAATATATTCATAGATCATAATATACAATAACAGAAAATAAGTAATATATATGGTAAATGTAGACGGTGGTCTCCGGAATGGTGTGCCGTTTCGACGATTATCTTCTTCTGAACAAGGGTGTGTACAAAAAACTGTCTTTCAACAATTCATTTCTCTTGGTGACGTACTGGAAATATACTGTTGATTCACTTCATCATAAAGCTGAATGCAATTATAGCCCATTGAAGAACATAGCTGTAAGCATAGCCTTATGATGAAGTGAATCAACAGTATATTTCCAATACGTCACCAAGAGAAATGAATTGTTGAAAGACAGTTTTTGTACACACCCTTGTTCA